ATCCTGTGATGAAGAATTCTCTGACTCTGAAGATGAAGGGGAAGGAGGGCGCAAAAATGTTGCCAACTTTAAGAAAGCTAAGCGTGTGAAAACAGAAGAGGAAAAGGAGGAAGAGGAGAAGAAAGGTAAGCATGAAAGCTAAGACTAGAAGCCCTCCCAGCTCTGTGGAACTTTGCCTGGCATGTACTTTCCTACTGCACCACTGTGTGTCTTTTTTTTTTTTTTCCCCCCTAGATGAGAAAGAAGAGGAAAAAGCGAAAGAGGAGAAAGCAGAACCCAAAGGGTGAGCCCTGTCTCCTGGCATGACTATTAAATGGCTGTGCCTGTACTTCCTTGTGCATCTACCCATGTCCCCAGCGGGACGTTGCTCAATTTGAGGGATTGGAGGAGAGATGTGGTAGTTTGGATGGCTTTGTCATGGGCTTTTAACGGGAAGAAGTTTGCGTGCGTAGAACAGCACACCTGATAAAGCACTGTGAGAGCAGAGCCCTCCGTGAAAAGGGCTTAAAAATACTGTGCCTCCATTCAGTAACACGTTACAAGTTTTAGATGAAGATGGGCCATATAAGCAACAAGCCAGAGCTGCGACCTTAAAAAATGTTATTAAAGCTTGGGCACAGCCTGAGTTGCTTGTTTAAACCAAATTCTTCGCTGCTTGCTTCCACAGGGTGAAGGAAGAGACGAAATCCACCTAAGATGGCTGCAGCTGGACAGTACCTGTCAGTGCGTAGTTGTCGTAGGTTAGCTTCTCTGGTTGCCTCCCATTCCACAGGATTTATATTTTATATATGTTTCTGTATATATTTCTATATAAATATATAAATGACTTGAGAACTGTAAATTATTCCTTGCTGCACTCCGCTGGGAGCAGATAGGGAGGATTCTGCGGAGTAGACAGACCTGCACTGCCCAGATTTGGTGACTGGGAAGTTTCACTCTTGCCTTCCACTGCCTCCTTAGTGTGTCTTTAAAAAAATCACTTCCTTTCTTTACTCTGTCCTCTGAAATAACCACCCTTTGAAAAGAATAATTTAAGTAGAAGTAGTAGTATTTGCATTTCAGGTGAGGTGGAAAGATGGCCATGAAATTTCTTTTTTTTTTTTTTTTTTTTTTTTTTTTTAAATTTTTTTTCGGGTTTTTTTTGTTGTTTTTTTTTTTTTTTGTGGGAGAATATGAATTCCCAAATGAAGCCTGTGGGAGACTGACTATTCCTTTGGTCTTCAGTTCAGTTTGATTCCACCATGGCAAGTAACTGCAAGCTGGTGCCGCTTCTCAGGGTCAAATAGTGCAGTTCTTGAATAGAGTTGGCTACCTCCCTGCAGCAAACTTGTGGAAAGAGATGAAGCAGCTTAAAAGCAATCTCAAAAGCGCTTTAGTGAATTGGCCCAAGAGCCCTGCAGGTGCAGATCTGGAAAATGCAAAATGTTAACCACCGCATTAGGGTGATTTTCATTTTCCAAGATCTTGCAGATCCAGTTGGTGTGGCAGCATTATACATCTCAAGTAAGAGAAGGGATGAAATTTTTATACCTTTTTTTCTATACCTATGCCCCTCTTTGGGGGAGGAAGTGAGTTACTGCCCATTTGGCTGCCTGCTTTGCTTTTCCTGCTTGTTCTGCCCTTGGCTACACGTGCCGTAAGGTGCTTTCTCAGTCCTGGTCTGTGTCCTAGGCTGAAACCACTGCAGAAATTCCCAACTCGTCTGAAGGCCAGACTGAACAGAGCCTGGCTGAAACCTCGTGTTGATGTGTGTCACTCGCTGAAAAACTCTCCTCTGAAGTGAAGTACAGATGTTTTCAAATTGAACCTTTCCTCTGTCTTGCTCTTAAGGCCAGTAAATATGGAGAACCTTTTTATCAGCCCTCTGAGCTGTTATCTTTATAAGGGAACAGCAGATGGGGCTCTGTACGTTTTTATAACTACTCTTCTTCCTACTCCCACGCATTATCTCACAAGTCTTTTGTGACCAGAACTGGCCTTTCTTTTGCATCTCGTTTTGTACAGCTGATCATTAGATGAGTTTTTGGTGAAATGCTTTGCAGAAGTTTTGCAGGCAGTTTTGACTCGCTGCTCTCCTTTCTCAGGGGGATTCCTCTGTCCATAAGAGGATCTGTACCTCCCACGGAGCGCTGCTGATGGTTTCAACTCTAATAATGCTGCTAACTTAACACAGGTTATTTTTTAAATGTTTTATTTTTTTAAATACTTCTTTTCCCTTTTCCACCATGAGTTTTTTAGTCTCTTTGAATCTGAGTGATGTGTCACTCCCGCTCTTCAGTGTTTGTATGTGAAGCGAGAGAGATCAGTGTATCTTTGTGTCTTGGGGGGGAAATATATTGTGGTTTTTTAAAGATGCTTTTATTTTCAATTTTGAGAATCTTTGTAATAAAACTGGTACATTTCTATGGTTGGTGTGAGTTTGTACTGCTTTCTGGTGAGAGGTAACGCTCCGTTAGAGTGGGAGTTCTGTTTGTTTTCAGAACCATTGCTGGAAAATGGTGCAGTAGCTTGATTGTGATCAGGGTGTAATATATGTCCCAACAACAAAAAATGACAGCTGTAATGAGGCTTTGGAAAGAAAGGTGAGGTGAGGCATGATTACTTTCCCTCCTCTTTCAGGAAGAGGGCTAGATATGTTGGTTTAAATGCCATCCACCAAAGCATTTTCTTTGGAACATAGTCTATGCTGCATGTGAAAGATTGCTTTAGTTTCTTTTGTGGATGTTTGGTTGGGTTTTTTTGTTGTGTTTTTTTTTTTCCTTTTCCCCGTGTTTTATAAAATAGCCTTGAAATTCTCCTCATGACCCTTCTCTCCAGGAAAAGGTAAGTCAAAATAACATGGGTTTTGTTTGCTCACACCTTTTCTAGTAAGGGTCACTGGGGTGGTTTTTCTGTCTCTTTTTCCTAAATTACAGCTGGGTTCATATCCAGCAGCACTGTTGATGCTAATTGGGTTTGCAGTTTGTTTGGAGTTACAGTACTTCATGCAGGTGATGCTTGCTCTGAAAGCAGTGTTAATCTAGAAAAGGAATAATAAGGTATGGGAAAGGAGTATTTTTTTTTTTTTATTTAATTAAGTGTTTTCTATCTGGTATTCAAGTAAAAAATTCTGTAATATAATTAGGAGCCAGTTACTTCTGTAACCCAGTGGTGATCACAGCTGAAATGGACACAAAAGGTTCATAAGCCAAATCTACTGTTTATGCAGTGAAGAAAAAGCTTTGCGTGGCACAGTTGACTTTCATTGCTGTAACAATACTCCAGGAAACTTAGTTATCCTTTTCACCATAGCAGACAATTAAAATCCTCTCCTCCTTGAACAAAAACAACTGTACAATTCAAGTTACCCCTGCCAGATCACGCATGCCAATGTGCAACTGCAGTCCTTCTCTCTTCCAGTGTTTCTTAAAATGGCTGCCGCGATGCTGCACGGCAGCTCCCTGGCAGATGCACTGAGCCCCGCATCTCAGCTGGGGCACAATGCAGCTGTGTCTCGCATGGCAGACAGTGAGCAATCTTAGAAATAATTTGCAGTCCACTGCCTACATTGAAAATAGGGGTTTGGTTTTGGTTTTTTGCCCCCCAGATGAGTAGGGATGAATACCCTGCTGTATTTGGAAGCAAGTCACTTGCTTTAGTTCCCCATTATTGATAGGATGTGCTGTGTAAAACTAAGAGTTTTGGCCATTTCCACCTACCTCAAGGGCCACAGATGAGCAGTGATGGTCCTTGCCCCAGGCCCAGCCTTGTGAGGGTGCTGCCAGCAGCTTTTGGGCAAACAATGGTCCTCGCTTTTCTCCAGCTGCTGCTTTGCCAGCCAAAACAGCAGGGGCAGGTGATTAGATGGGAATTAGGAGCAGGCCACGAAATGGAGGGGCTGTGCACGACTACTACAGCCTACGCTGGCAGAAGGAGCTCTTGTAGAGGCTGTAGCCTTCGAGCTCTGAGCTGCTAGAGACAGGCAGCTTTTCTTTTTTTCCCCCCCACCAGCAAAAAAAAATGGGTTAGATCTCTAAGAAAACAGGTACCGAGCAGCCAGCTGAACAGTGATCCTAAGGTAGCGACAAGAGGCTTGTGTGAGAAAGTCCTTTGTGGCTGTAGCTCTACATCTGCTGCAAGTCAATTAACTGCAAGCAGAGCCAGGGCTGGAGTGATTAAATGCAGCAGCTGTTGAACTAAATAAGCAACTGCTATCTTCCCTGGCCCTTGTCTGGCATCCAGGACAAGAAGGACTCAAGCTCACCCATAAAGGGGTCACCATTTATTCCTTTCAAATGTTACAATAAAGCCCATACAGCTTGCTTTTTTTTTTTTTTTAGAAGTTAGAAAATTGCAAATCAAGTGTTTTGGCCATTAAAAAATTATTTACAGAGAAAACAATGTTGCTTCACATTATACAGCTGGCAGGCCCCCTCCCTCCACCCCACGCCCTAAAAGTTATCCCTTAGAAGCAGAATTAAACACAGCGGACTTACAAGCTTTATGGTTTTAAGCCAATAGTAAGACATTATAAAAAACTAACCAGATTAGCTTTTAAACCATTGATTTCTATAAAAAGCACAAAATACTTTAAATGAAGTCAGAACCAGGAATGTAAACTGAGAAAAAAGAATCCATTGAACAGTCACTGGCTTGCTGGGCTTCGCAGGCTGCCGGGAGGCGAGGGGACAGTCAGGAGGCCAGCAGAGATACCAGAGCGGGGTGTGAGATCTGGGCTCTTACAAACTGTAAATTCCAGTTATGTCCAGGATAGTCTTCCTCCACAGTTTTAAAGGATTCAGGTAAAACTACTCCCAAGTTGTGGCGGCAGTGGTGGGAATCCAAACCAGCTTTCTAACAGGGGAGGGGAAGAAATACCTCGGGGAGGGTGTTGGTTTTAGAAAGCGTCGTCAGTTCTAGGTGGGACGGGGAGGTGTGCGGGCAAGGCAGCGAGTCCGTGGTGTTACCGGGATGGAGAGGATGGCGTGAGAGTCTTAAGTTAGGACGATGCCAAGTGGGCTCTACTCTTCCTTCTGCTCCGCCGCCGCCGGAGTTGTCGCAGGTTCGGGCCCCGCGGGTTTTGAGGGCTCCTCTGGTTTGGCTGTATCCCCGTGGCTTTCCCCTGCCTGCTGCTTCTCCTCCTCCTTTCCTTCCCCTGCTTCTGCGTCCTCCCTCTTGGGCTCAGCTCCCTGCTGCCCATCAGCCGCAGGGCTGCTCTGCTCCTCCGCCGTCCCCTCCTCGGGGGGAGCCGAGGGCTCCGTCCCGCTGGCCGAGCAAGCGGGGTTCTCCTCTCCCTTGGCCTCTGCCTTGCCTTGGTCCTCCGTGGGAGAGGACCCGGAGGAGTCCCCGGCTTCTTTCTTGTTCTTCCTAAACGAGATCCCGCTCAGCTTGAACGATTTCTTGAAGGAGAACTTCTTCTTCTTCTTGGGGGTGTCCTTGGGGGCCACGGCACCTTCGGGTTTAGCATCCCCGCCTTCGGCGGGGGGAGC